TAAATGAGAAAATGAGGAAATCTGTATATAGGTATTTATGTAATTTTGAAACAAGCAAGAAATCATGCACAATAAAGGTCCCGGCTCATTATATTCCCCGTGTACAGGAACACACCACCAATAAAACACTTGAATATGTAACAGAATTATTTGCAGAGACTTTCTGCAAATACGATGTGCTCCACAATTAAATAGACAAAGTAACTCATATAAAAGCCTTCAGCCCTGCTATGATTTCGTATACTGTGTTTTTCAATCTCAAAGTAGTACACTACTAGCAATGAATCAAAAACGTATCCTCTTATTTAGTAAGTAAATGTAAATTCTCTTAAAAATGGCTCTTTTCATAGATGAAGAGAAAATGTTTATGCTTCTATGAGGCTCTTCCAATGTAATGTTCCCTGGATACCTGATATAAAAGATCTATGTAGATAATTGCTGCTATTGACTAAGTGCACTATTTGGCTAGGCAATCTTCTGATGAATTTTAGTCTATAAATAGCATTGCAGTAAGATCTGAACCAACTTATACCAACCCAAGAAGCTGTTTGTTTTTTTTTTCCTGTCGTGGGGCTTGAACTCTGGGATGGACGCTGTCTCTCAGCTCTTGAGCTCAAGGCTAGCGCTCTACCACTTACGCCATAGAGCTACTTCCAGCTTTATTTTTTCTGTTTATGTGGTACTGAGAAATTGAACCCAGGGCCTCATGCATGTGGGGCAAGCACTCTACCACTGCACCACCTTCCCAGCCCAAGAAGCACTTTTCTAGAAGTTGCAATTCTTGTGGCAAGTGATAACAAAGACAGCCTGCATCAGGCATCCGTAGCCTGGCCCCCTCATTTCTAGGGAGACCTTGGGGCAGCAAGGCTGCAGGATGTAAAGGATCAGACTTGGACCAAGATGACTAAGCCTGTATCACCTATCTGCAGGTTAGATTGGATGAGTATCTGGGTTGAGCATCAGCTGGTAGGACAGCCAACAGGTGGGGTGATTTTCCTAATGTCACAATTAAAAGAACTCAGATGTGATCAATGTAGTATACATACATCCAAGTATTACGGCAATATTATTCGGGATTTATACTTCCCCAAATAATGTATTTCCTTAAGGAGAATACAAAATACACATTTGGTTGACAGGTCAAGTGTGCTCTGCATTCTGAAGACATTTCTGGTGCAAAGAAGTTCTTCCTATCACCAGGGTGGGGGGGGTCAAATCCCCTGGTAGGGGGGGTCTGCCAGCAGACCCTCTGGGACAGGCAGTACGTGGGACACTGCCCTGTCACGGAGTGCCCGAAGATGCCTATGAAAGAGGGGTCTTTGTAAGGCAACAGCCAGCAAGGGACAGCGATCCTCGGGGCCACACTGCAGATGAGAGGTGGGCATGGGACAAGTGTGTGGGTAATCTGGACAGGTGCCAGAGGAACTGCTCAGGTCAGACTCTGATGACAGAAACCACTTTTAGTCGTTAAGAGTCTTCCTGGACTTTGGAATCATGGTGAAGGTATTCCCCAGATGGTAAAAGCTGCCACACTGGAAGCAGCCTTGTGTAATTTGCTTTATTTTACTCACTATTGTATTTGAAATTTATCAATATTGATGAATGTGGCTGTCGTTCATTTATTTCAATCACCCCAAAGTACTTAACTGAGTGTATATAACATAATCTTCTTTTGTTGTTGTTGGTTATTACAGTTTAATAAAGCCTTTGTCTAGTAGAATATGCAATAAACATTTTTTAAGCATGTTTTATACAGACAGGTGTTTCTTTTTTAAGTATATAGTTACAAATGGGATTGTCGCATCAAAGTTATACAAAAGATTCATTTCATTACCTGATGTTAAATTGTCTGCAAAGAAGCTATGTCAATTTACCTTCCCACCAACAATGCACAGAGTATGGAGGTACAACACCCTCACGATCCCTACCAGCGGGGAGGTGTGAAACCCTCACAATCCCTAATTAAAAGTATGAAATCCTCACCATGTCTGGTGTGATGGTGGTGTTGGGGGGAGCCCTTATGATCCCAGAGGTCAGGGGGTGGAACATTTACTACTTCTCATGGGTTGGGGGTATGAAATGCTTGAGATCCCTGGTGAGTATGAGCATTTGCTCCTTATTTACTGGCTGTCTGGTCTCCATGCACTGCCTATTTATGTCTTTTTGGTCTTGGGCTTGAATGCATAGCTGTCCCTGAGCTTGTTGCTCAAGGTTGGCTCTCAACTACTTGAGTCACAACTCCACCTCTGGTTTTTTGGTGGTTAGTCAGAGATGAGTCTTATAGACTTTCCTGCCCTGACTGGCTTCAAACCATAATCCTCAGATCTCAGCCTCCTGAGTAACTAGGAGTACAGCTGTGAGCCACCAGCACACAGCTTAAAACATGTTTAAAAAATTTTAAACATGCACGTTTGAGGATTAAATGTATGCCCTCACCCATGCTATGCATATTTCCTGCCTGAGCTATGCTGCAGCCCTGAGGCCTAGTTTTCTGTACCCTGTTTAAGAAATACTCCTCTATCCTCAGTCATTAAGTCAATGCTATTTGATAAAATGAAAAAAAAATTGATTTTGAGATAATTTTCCCACTGAATTATCCAAGGAAGTAGTACCACTGTTTGGCTAGTTCATTCTTGTAATAACCCGTATTCCTTCTCTCTGGCTCCTCTCTCTCCCACCCTTTCTCTCTCTTTTTTTTGGAGATGGTTTTATTATTTTCTCTCTCTTTCTTTTATTTTTATTTATGTGGTGCTGGGGAATTGAACCTAGGGACTCATGCATGCAAGGCAAGCGCTCTCCCACTGAGCCACCTTCCCAGCGCCCTTTCTCTTTTTTTTTGTAGTGCAGGGATTGAAACTCAGGGTCTTAGGCATGATGTAAAGTGCTTCAACCTAAGCTGTATCTCCAGATATTTTTTCTTCTGGTTTTTGAGGCAGTGTCTATCTTTATATAGCCCAGGATGGCTTCAAACTTATAATCCTGCCTTTCCTTCTGGAAGTTTGATTTACAGTTATGTGCTACCATGCTGATTCTAAAATTGTTCTATGTAATTATGTGGTTTTAACACCAAGGGCTTGAACTTGAAGTTCTCTGCTCTCGCTCAGCATGCCTGCTTATGTCACTCTACAACTTGAGTTATGCCTCTACTCTGACATTTTGCTGGTTCACTGAAGATGCAGTCTCTCAAATTCTGTGTGTTTGTGTGTGTATGTGTGTGTGCGCGCACACACACCTATTCTGGCTTTGCACTGTGACCTCCCAGGTCTCAACTTCCTGAGTAGCTAGGATGAAATGATTGGGAGCCACTGGTTCTGTGTTCAAACCCACAATTCTCATTCTGACTCACACAGGTGTCTGCCTGCACTGCTTCTCCTTTACTAGCTTTGGTGTGCTGCTGCCTAGCTGCCGTTTGTTCTCAACCGGACAGGTATGGGAGGATTAAGTGACCATGGCCACCACTGCCTTCATTTTGCTGCTGGACAGGTGAGCAGGACCTGCTTCAACTTTCCTCTTCTCTGACTCCTCTCAGCACAGGACAGTGGTCATTTCACTCCTGTGGTGGGGCTTGTTGTTACCACCAAGCACAGCCAGAGAGGAGAGGATGCTGGCCCAGCGCACGGTGTCTGCCTATGGGCAGCTGCTCCAGGGAGGTTGGGCAGAAGACCAAAGCCAGGCAGGGGTTAGGATGACATCTCCTCCCCCCACAGACATAATCTGGGCACCTGTAAGAGCTAAGCAACTTCTTTGAATCCCATGCTGCCTGTGGTTTGGAATTACAGTTACTTATTTTCTCAGTATGTGTTTTGCTATTTTTGTCTCCATTTCCCACCTCCTTGTTCTTCTTCTATTTTCAATGTTGGATGTCAGAAAAGTTCAGTGATGGAATTATTTTTAAAATAAGGATTAAAGGATGCCATATGATACTTCAAGTTCTGTGGAAGAAATCTTAGAAAGACCTTATTATTGTGCAGGACATGTAGGGTTCTCACGACAGTTTGGTAAGAAAAGTCTCTACATTTAAATAAATGTCCTTCCTACAACTTAGAAAAAGCAACCAAGATCACTCCAGTAACTAATGGCAGACGTGGACTTTTCTCCACAGAAGACTCACGGAGTCACGAGGTGACAGGTTGTGACGATGATTCCCCCACAATTACAACAGTACAACACGGACATATCCAGAACTCTTTCTTAAACCAGGTGCCAAGCCTCATACCTATAATCTTGGCTTCTCAGGAGGCTGAGACTGTGCTTCAAAAACAGCCTTTCCAGAAAAGTCTGAGATGTTAACTTCCAATTAATGAGCCCCCTCTACAACAAACCCCTGAAGCCCACAAAACAAAAACAAAAAGCCCCTGCTGCACTGGAGGCTCAAGTAGCAGAATCATAATGTAAGGCATCTTCTTTTTCTTTTTTTTGGCCGGTCATGGGGCTTGAACTCTGGGCCTGGGCGCTGTCCCTCAGCTCTTCAGCTCAATGCTAGCGCTCTACCACTTGAGCCACAGCATCACATCTGGCCTTTTCTGCTTATGTGGTGCTGAGGAATCCAACCCAGGACCTCATGCATGCAAGGCAAGCGCTCTACCACTGGGCCACCATCCCAGCTCCAGGCATTTTCTATAAAATAATATAAAACTGGAAAAGTAGTAGATGCCTAGAGTCCCAGATACTTGGGAGGTGGAGGTGGGAAGAACTCTTGAGTCTTAAGTTTAAGACCAGGGAAATATATGGAGACAAGTAACTCCCCCTCCCACCCAGTTCATCTGTATTTGTTGTATTTGATGGAGCACGCTGGATCTTAGTACACGCGTAGACATATGATCATTTAAAGTAGTGGCTTTTTAGTTCACTGGATTTAAGATGATCAGTGTGTTTACACAATACTTTCTGCAGCACAGGACTGGCATGTAATCCTGTGCATTTTAGCTATGTTCAAGAGTACTGTTGATGCATTCAGTCATTACAAAGGTAGGCTAGAAGCCGGGTTCTCTGTTACTTACAATTAGCTGCTTGAGGCCCACGAAAGACTGCTCCACGGAGCCGGCGTTCAGGACCTGCCTCCTGGCTGCTGCCTTCTCGCCCAGGAAGCGAAGCATCAGGTCTTTAACCGCATCTCCCTGGGGGAATGTAAAGGAAGTAAGTCAGGACAACACAATGTTCATGAAACTCAGCTAGCAGCACCCATAACTCAGGTCCCTTTCAGTTCAGGGGCGAGGAGAGAGTGGGGGATCTAGTACAGGAAAACACCAACGAGCCAGAGCTGAGTTGTTAATAAATGTATATATTTTAGAACTGCTCTTTGTCCCAAGGAGGAAGAGCACAGAATACCAGCGAGTGGGAGACACTGCCACTGGAGAGGGTTCTGAGGGCTGGGAGTCCTGCAGGGGGAGGTGTGCTGCTGGGAGGATGAGGAGCTGTGGTCCCTGGGGGGAGAGTGCCCGGCAGAGGCTGGGGCACAGCTCTGCCCGGTCCTTGAAGACTCTCAGACCCGCCTCTAGGAGTCTTTGGAGCAGCTGACGTGTGTGGCTGGAGAAGAGTCATCAGGATGTCCCCACCCCTTTCATTTCTTGCCTACCGTTCTCTCAGAAACAAGATTATTTCAATCTACTGTTACTTTCAAAAATGGAAAAAACTAAAAAAAAAAAAGCTACATCTAGGCTATGTAAGCAATAAATAAAAAACACCACTGTGGAAGCTGTCAATGCCTGCCTCCAGTTCTGTGGCCCACAGGGGAGATGAGAGCAGATGACAGCCGTGGCACAGGGCCACGCTGGTTCCAGCTCCAGACTGCTTCTCCTTTCTAGTGCTCAGCCTGGTGTTTAAAGATGCCGAGACTTTGGGGGAGGGAGGGAGTGTAATTGAGGAGGTGGGAGGGAAGGGAGGGTAGGGGAAAAAACAAAGGAGGAGGCAACAATGCTTGATAGGAAATGTACTCATTACCTTGCTCATGTAACTGTAACCCCTCTGTACAGTATTTTCACAATAAAAAACTTATTTAAAAAAAAAAAGATGGGGGCTGGGAAGGTGGCTCAGTGGCAGAGTGCTTGCCTCGCATACATGAGGCCCTGGGTTCAATTCCTCAGCACCACATAAGCAGAAAAAACTGGAAGTGGCGTTGTGGTTCAAGTGGTAGAGCGCTAGCCTTGAGCTGAGGAGCTGAGGGATAGCACCCAGACCCAGAGTTCAGGCCCCACAAACGACAAAAAATAAATAATAATAATAAAAAAAGATGACATACTTGCATCTTCCTCCACTGGGGCAAAGAGCTAGACAGAAGCAGCAATTTTATAATTCCTGCTTTCAGAGAGCAACGTGGAACACTTGAAGTATCAGAGCCAGTGAAGTGACCGGGAGCGATGATTACCATAAAGGGACAAGGCAGCCGGACACCGCGGCTCACACCTGTAATCCTAGCTACTAAGAGGCTGAGGCTGAGGTCTGAGCATCAGCCAAATTCAAAGCCAGAACCAGACACTCTGAGTCCATGAGACTCCTATCTTCAACTAGCCACTTAAAAGTTGTAAGAGGGGGTTTGGCTCAAATAGGAGTGCTGGCCTTGAGGAAGAAACTAAGTATAGCACCCACACTCCGAGTTTAAGTCTCAGTACTGGCACAAAAAACAAAAAAACAAAAACAAGCAGGTCTCAGGAATATGACACACACGTGCAGCCTTGCTGGCAGCTTGGTGTGGCCAAGAGGCCACAATGTGTGCAAAGGGTTGTGAGTGGACACACTCTGTCCCCCAGGCCCCTCACCTTACGAGTCCTGCTGTGCCCACCTGTCCTCCTGGCCACGCGGAGGTGGTGGAGCTACTCCACAGCCTGGCTCCCATAATGCTGACCTTTCTACGACTGCAAATACCTACCTACCCTTAGTCACTGGACCCTGGGTTTTCCTGTCAGCTTAGCCCATGGCAGAGGCATCAAAACCTTTCACCATTCAAATGAGACCACCTTGCCACGTGTTCAGTGCGCTTCCATAGGTCACATAGGTTATTGGCAAAGCAAGTATCTGTGACCAGTTCTTCCATTTCAAGGTACTTTCTATGTTTCTACATTGACTGAAGGAATGTCTATGTATGAGAAAGTTTCTGGGACCCTGGAAAAAGTACAAAAGTTCCTTCAAAGAATTTTAGTACTCATTCTTCACCAAAATCATTTGCTTTCTAGTTCTCTTTTTATGTCACTGGATAGAGATGATTTTATCTTTAAAAAAATATTTGACACATAAACGTTGTATATATTTGAGGAATACAATATCCTCCAACATGATCATCCTGTGTCCTGTCACAATCAACCGACGGAATCCCACCATCTAAACCGAGGAAGGGATGAAAACGCTGGTCATCAACCACAGTGAACAGCATCTCGGTCCCCTCCACCTGTCCTTGGGAACTACCACTGCACTGTGCCCAACACAGCTGTGTTTATGAAGACCCCCCCAGGTGAGCAAGCCTGTGTGGCACCTGCCCTTCTGCATCTGGGTTAGTGCAAGTAGCATTGCATCCTCCAGGGCCATCCATGTTGTCAAGAATGATACCATTTCCTTCCTTTTTATTTTCATTTTTAATATTTTATTATTTGAGTTCTGGGGCTTGAACTCAGGGCCTGGGCACTGTCCCTGAGCTTCTTTTGCTCAAGGCTAGCGCTCTACCACTAGAGCCACAGCACCACTTCCGGCTTTTTCAGCTTATGTGGTACTGAGGAATTGAACCCAGGGCTTCATGCATGTTAGGCAAGCACTCTAACACCAAACTGCGTTCCCAGCCTCTCCTTCCTTTTCATGTTCATTTTGTGAATGCGTCCCGTTTCCCTCATGCATTTCTTCAGCGATGGACCTCAGGTTGGCTCCATACCTTGGCTTTCATGGGAAGTGCTGTGAAGAACTCAGGAGTGCAGCTCACCCCTGAGACACCGACTTCACCTGCTCTGGACCCATGCCAAGGCAGAGTTGCCGGGTCCGATGGTAACTCTACTTTTAAGTTTTGAAAGAGCCTCTCCAAGTGTTCCACTCTGGCTTACTAATTTACAATCCCACCCACACTCATTATCACTTGTCTTTAGTTATCCTAGCATCTCTTGGCGACTGGTGGCTTCTTCAGCTCAGATACAGACCTTCCTGAGAGAAACACTGTTCTCTATGTGGAAGGGCCCTGAGTCCTGTTCCTGCTGTTGGTGGGGATGTGACCTGTGCTGAACCACAGCACAGGAGAGTGAGCACGGCCAGGCCACTCTCCCTGGTTCACGCTGGCAGCGTGGACTCATGGCCTCGCTTTCACGAGGGGAGTGATGCCGGGGACACACAGCTTCCCTGGGACTTGCTCAACCCACTCTGGTCTCAAGTTCCTTGTCACTAAAGGAGAAACTGGACACCTCTCCCTCCCTTTCCCTTCTCCTTCCTTCTTCCCATTTTCCCTCCCCACCAGCCTTCTTTTCTCCCATCTCTTTTCATTTAAAACTGAGGCCAGAACACTGGCTCACACCTATAATCCCAGGTAATCGAGAGGTGGAGATGAGGGGCATCATGGTAGCCAGGTGAGAGGCGAGTGGGTAGCCAACCACCTCTATGTAGAGGCTGGCCAGGCCAGAGAGCAGCACGCCAGCCAGTCCAGGCACAAGTAGGGAGACTGCATTCCAGACAAGCCTGGGCAAAGCAAGCAAACAAAACCCAACACCTTATCTAAAAAAAAAAAACCAAAAAAACCCCCCACTACATCAAAAGGGCTGGGGGCATGGCTTACACATCTCTTATTAAGGAACAAGACTATACCCAGAATTCTCACCTCAGTGTGTCCTTATAAAGGAAATGGAAACTGGTAATTTAAGAACCCTCTTTAACTATAAGCCACAGATAAACACAATTTAGCTATCACTTCCATTGCCTTTCATTCATATTATATAATTTTGAATATTACATAATCATTATTTTGCATCAGGACCTCAGTAAGATTCCTTTCCGATGGAATTGTCATGACTTTTAATGTCATTGTTGAAATAAAAATCTCTTCAAGTTCTGAAACCACTATGGTTTCCACCCAGAGTCTACACTCGTATTTATAAGGTCTAGCTGCAGCTTGCATGTCTTTGGATGTGAAAGAACCACATTCCATTTAGTCATAGGGTTTTCCCTTAGAATGAATCTCTTCCTATCTTCAAATGGGATTGGATCACCTTAAGTCTATGTATGTTCACAGGCTTTTTCTCCAGCATGAACTCTTCCATAATTTAAAGAAGGCTATAATGCACCCCCCCATTTTCTGGTAGTACTAGGGATTGAACCCAGAGCTCTTTCTACAACTGGAGCACATTTTTGTTTCTGAGCAGCTCCCTTTGCAAGTCTGGCCGCCAACGTTTGATCCTTTCAATCTGGCCTCTAGAGTAATTAAAATCATAAGATTTAATCCCAGGAATTCTGTGTTCATCTTAAGTTCTTGTCTTTTCATTTGTTTTCTATAAAATTAAAGTCAGCTGGACAGTGGCTTCCATCTATAATTCTAGCTACTCAGGAGGCTGAGATCTGAGGATCAAGGTTCAAAGCCAGCCCAGGCAGGGAAAGTCCATGAAACTCTTATCTCCAATAAACCACTCAGAAAACTGGAAGCGGCACAGTGGCTCAAGTGGTAGAGCGCTTGCCTTGAGCTGAAGAGCTGAGGGACAGCACCCAGGCCCAGAGTTCAAGACCCACAACCAAAAACAAAACAAAACAAAAATTAGAAGTGGAGGTGTGGCTCAAGTGTCAACCTTGAAGCAAAAAGCCAAGGGAGATCACAAAACCTTCAGTGTAAGGTCAGCTTTCCAGCACTGAGTCTCTGTAGAGTTTCTTCTGAAAAGGCTCTAACAAAGCCTCCTCCTGCTGACACTGGACCCATGTCCTCACTTCAGGGGTCTCCACATAGCCTCCTTGTTTTCCTGTGTTGGTGAGATTACACTATGAGAAAGGTGGGCACTCAGGGCCTCTCTGCGTCTGAGAGCAGACAAGCCCACACAGATCTTGTTAGGCCTAGAGTTGTTGGTAGAGGGAAAAGCTGGATGCCAGTGTGCCTGTGATGGTCAGTGGTAGAAGTCTCATTGTTTTTTTTCTGGTGCTAGGGGTCAGACTCAGGATCTTCTGCATGCTAGGAAGGCACTCTACCTCGGAGCATCATTGGAAGCTTTAAGCTCGCTGTGACAATGCCATGTTGGCTTTATGGAGATTTGGGGGTTTCTGAGTTGAGGATTTAGGGTTTAAACAGATAATGTAGGCTTTCCGGATGGAAATCCTGCAAAAGCCAAACTAGGGGAAGAGTGAGGGAAGGAGGAGGGGAACTGGACAAGACAGAAGCAGAAGCGTGGCCTCAGTTTGCCTGTCAGGTTTCCAGACCTGCCACCAGGCTAGAGGCAGAGGCCCGTGGTATGGCCCCTAGAGCAGAGTCCTCACTGCAGAGGCCCGTGACACAGCCCCTAGAGCAAAACCAGTGTCCTTCATCACTGAAACTGGGCTGCTTTATTTTATTCCTCTGTCTCTTTTCCAAAAAGGCTTGATTCTAAAACTTCTCATTTACTTCTCTGAGAAGAGTGAATGCCATCTGTAACTACAAGTGGCAGTGCACATATTCTTTGTATAATCCTACTATAGTTGGACATAGTTTTATAGATTTACCTTTAAGGTTTTGAATTTATCTTAAGAATTTAATAAAGATCATGTAATAAAGAAGCAATTACATGTTTTTTTTACTTTCTTTTTTGGTGTGGATATTGGGGCTCGAACTCAGTGGCTCAAACTCAGGGTCTGGGTGCTATCCCAGTTTTTGTGTTGTGTTCATGGCTAGTATTCTACCATTTGAGCCACACCTCTACTTCTGGCGCTCAGACAGTCTATTGGATATAGAAGGAATTTTAATTAATAGATGAATTAGAAAAAAACAGAATATAAGTGTTTTAGTAGGCTGGTTTAGAACAGAAGGTAAATGCAACAAACATCCTTTTTTTTTGTTCATGGGGCTTGAACTCTGGGCCTGGGCGCTGTCCCTCAGCTCTTCAGCTCAAGGCTAGCACTCTACCATTTGAGCTACAGCGCCACTTCCGGCTTTTTTCTTTTTGCTTATGTGGTACTGAGGAATCGAACCCAGGGCCTCATGCATGCAAGGCAAGTGCTCTACCACTGAGCCACCTTCCCAGCCCCGCCACTTCCATTTCTGATGTTAATTGGACAGAAGAGTCTCATGGACTTTTCTGCCTGGGCTGGCTTTGAACTGCAATCCTCAGATCTCAGCCTCCTGAGTAGCTAGGATTACAAATGTGAGCCACTGGCACCCAGCCAGAAAAACTGTTTTTTGTTACACCCACCTTAAATCCTAAGCAAATAAATGCAGCATTTCCATTCAAGGCAAATCATAATCGTTCTTTATTATCCCCAGCATGAAGAGTTCTTTGATATCCAACTGAAGAGAAGTGGGTAAGGGAACATCGAGCACATGTGCTATACGTCCAAGTCAAAGGTACTCTGGTGATATTTTTTGTTCAAATTCTTACTTTGCATAAGGTTTCCAAAATAATTATTGTGAATGACAAGAGAAATGGGATGTATTACTTTGTCACCTAAGAGAGACAAGAAGAAAACATACCATCTTCTGGCTGGGCTTTGGGTACAGGCTGTGCTCATGAAGCCTAATGGGAACCCTATAAATTGGGGCTGACCAATGGGATGCCCTGCCTACTCCCTGGTGGGGGGTTAGAGCCTTGAGAAACAGGGGGACATATGGCAGAGTACCTGTTGGTAGATTAGACACCAGATTTGACCTAACTTGGGTGAAGCACACCCAGTGGTTCCTCAGCGGGGCAGATGATGCCTGGGCCTGCCTAGTACATGTCACATGCTCATGCCAGCACTTTGGCCAACCAAATGAACCATCAGGATTTCCAAGGTCATCCTTTTGAGAATCACAAAGTTATGTCCTTCTTGAGAAAGCAACCTTCATATTTCCCCTGAGTTCTAAGCAGAGAGGAAAGCAGAAAGGGAGAACTCAAGGCCAGATCCACCGATACCGTAGGAAATCAGCAGCAGACAATAGGAACACACCAAGGAATAGGAAGCAACACCCAAAAGTGATCCTGGGGTATAGGATCATGAGGATTCTTCAGATACAGTGACAAAGTAGGTCAAATCATACCCATCAGAGCAAGACACTGGTATTCATAAAAAGATTCAAGACTAAATAATGTTCAGTATATTCTGAGGGTAGAGATGGCTGCCATCAACTAAGTCGAGTAAGCACAGTAAACTCCCAATCAATACAGTATTACTAAGTAAATATTCCAGAAGATTATGTAAAATATTTAAAATCTGGATGTATATAGGCTTATCTGAAAAAAAAATTGTCCTCAGTTTTCTAGCATGCTGCTTTCCTTTTCCAGAAAATCCAGCCCTCAGCAGTCCCTTCATCCACTCAATAAAGTTGGTTAAGGTCATTTGAACAGCTTACTAATTCTCAACTCTGTTCAGGAATAAGTAAGAACTTATACTGAGAGAGGCTGCAGGCTAACCTTTTGAGGAAGTATAGATCAGGGAAGTTGAAGGTAAACAGCAGCCAGGATTAATAAATTCAGCCTAACTCAGGAATCTGAGATCTGAGGGTCATGGCCAGTCCGGGCAGGCAAGTCTGTGAGAATCTTATCTCTAATTTAACCATCAGAAAACCAGAAGTGGTGCTATAGCTCAAATAGTAGAGCACTTGCCTTGAGCTGAAGAGCTGAGGGACAGTGCCCAGGCCCAGCATTCAAGACCCACAACCCACCAAAAAAAAACAAAAAAAAACAAAAACAGAGTAAAGCAAATACAGAAGACAGAAATTCTCCCATCCACTTCCCCAAAGATTAAAGGACCCAAGTAGTTTCAGGGGAAAATGAGGTAGGATAGATTGGGAAAATAGCTCCCCCAGGCAAAAGGTGCTCAATGAAAAGGATAAACATCTATACCAGGAGGCAATCTTTATCTCAAGGATAAACACAAGTTTTTATGTTTGGGATACCAAACATAAGGGTCAAACATTTAAAGTATAGGTCAGTCTTAGGACCCTGAACTCAAGTAACAAAAGTGTAACAGCAAGAAGGATTAAGGGCAAAGATAAGCACCTAACTTTGTATAACTTAAAGTCTGACACTGCCTTCGCAGTCCAAGTGTCTCTCCCTTACAGAGGGTCCACAGTTAAGAGTGTGCCTCTGCCTTTCTGTTTTTTGCTTGTTCATTTACTCAATAAAGCTCCGCCAGGTTTTCTTACCAGTATGATTTTTCCAGAAATTCCTATTCTTCGATCAAAGTCAAGGATCCTTAGTGAAAAGTCCCAATTTTAGAGGGAAATGTTACAAATCCCCTCCTGGACCTGGTGACACTTTCAGGTCCATCTTCCCAAAATGGAAGGTAGAGAAGGGGTTAAGTGTAGTATGCCCATGCACCCTGCCACAGGAAACCAATCAATCCTACCTGCAATCTGGGGCAATACACCAACATTGGCATATGATATTAATGACTCAGGTGCAGCTTTTGGGCTTACACATGCTTGATGGGCAACAAAAATCACCATAAAGTTTGCTATCTCTGCTTTCATTTTGTACACGTGTCCTTTCTCTTAAGTCTGTGGGCTGGTTACCAGCATAGCTCTACACTTAGGCAGGTTAATATTTAAGGAGTGTCTGCCCTAAAATAGGTGATAAAGGTTTATTAGCCTTGTACTTAACCTATCTGGTCTTTTGATCTTTCAAGACTGAAGACCTCAAGTAGGAGTAACTGAAATATTGTACTTAGTTTTGGTTTTTGTTGGTCCTGGGGCTTGAACTCTGGGCCTGAGCACTGTCTCTCAGCTCTTCAGCTCAAGGATTGCACTCTACCAGTTGAATCACAGCACCACTTCAGGTTTTCTGGTGGCTTATTGGAGATAAAGAGTTTCCTGGCCTTTTCTGCCCGGGCTGGCTTTGAACTGCGATCCTCAGATCTCAGCCTCCTGAGTAGCTGGGATGACAGGTGTGAGCCACTGGTGCCTGGCTAGCTTTTTTTTTTTTTTTTTACTCTTAGCTTTCACAACTGTCTTGTCCCCTTTCCCACTCCAGCCCAGTGGCCTATAGTCACTTTGGATTCCACGGAACACTGACCTCTAGCCTTGCAGACAAAGCCCCCCTCCCCCCCCCCCCCATGAGATGCTTCTCTGAAGACACCTTGCAGAACCAGAACTGGGGGTAATCATCAACCAGATCAAGGTTTGGCCCAGACTGTTGAATTAAACTAGGGATGCTGGCTCAAGTCTGTAATCTTTTAATCTTGGCTATTTAAGAGATGCTCTGAGGCTAATACAGGCAAAAAGAAGTTTGTGAAGCTCTGTCTTGATCCATGGCTAGACACTGTGGCATGCACCATGCATCTATCGCTCTGCCTACGGAGGAAGCAGAATGACTGGAAGCCCCAGGAGGTACCGGTCATCCTAGTGAAGCAGGAAAGCACACATGGGAGGAAGGCAGCCTGGGCCAGCCTGAGCATAAAGCTAGACCCTATGTTAAAAATAACCAATCCAAAAAGGTGGGGTAGTGGGGGTTAAACGTATAACACCTGCCTGAAAAGTTCAAACCCTAGTACTACAAACAAAACAAAAAGATCATCAGAAATGAATTATCCTACAAAGGGTAGAGTTACTTCAGAGTTATAATTATCATGTTGCTAGTAGATATTATTTCTATGACTCTTGAGTAGCAGCTTAAATACATTACAACATTGGGAAGGGCAATGGAGATCCTAATAACCTTCAGACTAAATAATGTAGACCCTCAGAGCAATCGGAATCTTAGGAACTGTAATCTAGTTAGGAGTTGCCATCCTTGGAAAGGCACTGCATGCATCAGACAGAAACTGATTAACAGGGCAGAGATGCTCTCCATCCTACCTGAATGTTGTCAAACTTGAGGCCTGGCATGGTGAGGTTCTCCTTGTCTATGAACACAGTGCTGTACTGCTGGGTTGCCACTGAGGCCAGGACATCTCTGGTTCCCTGGCAGGGAAGCCATGCATCGTTCCTTCGGTCCATCTCACTCATGCTCAGGGCTGTGGCAAAGGGGTCATCGCTCCCTGCAAACACGGCCTGCATCTGTGAGAACGGTTTTGGAGACTCAGGGATTTCCAAAGAAGACGTAGAAACACCAGATTCGGATCTTTCCAAACCTGTAGAGTAAGACGGGTCCGCAGAGTCAGGTGAGTTTTCTCCCTCAGGGGCAGAGAGTGAAGATAAGGTGTCTGGAGCTGAAGAGCCGGCATTGGGATTACTGACAGAAATGAAAGTGGAAGTGGTGAAAGAGTCGAAGAAGTCTGAGGCCAGGGAGTTAGTGTTCATCGTGTCACCAAAAAACTGACTCAAGCTGGGGCTGGGCTGGACCGTCTGGGGGGGGGTCTTGGCCGAGGCCTCACTGGCGCTGCTGAAGCTTGGTGATTTCACCATTTGAGACTCAAAGCCATCTTGCAGAAACAGGTGCTGCTGGGAAGGAGTTGAATTCCCCTGGCTGAAAATGGTACACACAGGCACAGGGTCATCTTTAGAAGAGGACTGACTGGAAGATACTTCTGAAACCTGTTCTTCGGGCTGAGAGTTCTCATCCCTGGGTAGCAGATCTCCTGTGCTAGCATCCCCAAATGTGGGGATGTCTTTAACCTCTTCCTGTGTGGAATCTTCTTTCAAAGAAGCTCTGGTATCAGGGGTCATGTCGGATGTGTCCTGAGCCGTATGGCCGTCATCAGCTCCACTGGTGCTATTCAGAAGGTCCATTTCTTCTTTCTCTGTAATGCTGGCCAGTCTATGATCACTGCTGCCTTCTACAGGTTCCGCAACATCCTGCAAACAGCCAAGGTCACCTGCATCACCTTCGCTGTTATTAGGAGAGTCAGAAATGAGGACGCTCTCCATCATCTGCTCGTTAAGCTTGTCTACAAAGTTGTTGGAATCTTCTGATACGGTCTCATTCTCAGATCCAAACTCATCTCCACCGAGGTCAATGGTCTCCTCGTGATACAGAAGCTGCCCTGGTTCCTCCTGGGGCACCTGCTGCGGGCCACTTTGAGCTGCCACCTGGGCCTGAGGAGAGTCCTCTCTGACCTTCTGGTCAGCATTCTCCATGGTTCCTGAGCAAATACAGTAACAAATCAACCATATTATCATCTGTTCCTGCCAATATTAAGCTACATTAAAAAAAAAAAAAAGACAGTCTTGTAACATAGCCTCAAATTTGAGACTCTCAAGTGCTGTGCTTACAGGCATACAACACCAAGCCCAACTACTTTTACTTTTGTTTTCAATTGCAGAAATGTTTATTGGCCTATAGAATCACATGATTCAAAATTTAGAAATTTTCTTTCTCTATCTTTTTTTCTTAAATTAGTTTGTGTTGGTTCTGGGGCTTGAACTTAGGCTTGGGTCTGTCCCTGAGCTTGATTTGCTTACGGTTAGTGCCACACCACTTGAGGCACAGCTCCACTTCTGGCTGTTTTGGTAGTTAACTAGAGATAAGAGTCTCATGGATTTTCCTGCTCATGCTGGTTCTGAACCTGGACCCTCAGGTCTCATCCTTCTGAATAGCTAGGATTATAGATAGGGGTGAACTATCCGTGCCCAGATTACTTTTTATGTTCTTGTGGTAAAATACACTTAAAACTTATCAACAATTTTCAGCGTCAATGTTAAGTATATCAGTTGCTGTGCAACCAATCTCCATGCCCATTAAATTACTCCCTTTATACCTGTTGCTGGGCTATCACCATCCTACTTCTCATCTGCAAGAATGTGACTAGATCTGATGTAGGGGGATTATTCAATGCCTTCCTGTAACGGATATATTTTACTCAGTGCAAGTTCCACAAAGTTCACTCATGTTGTAGCATGTGTAAAAATTTCCTTTTATGGGTGAACATTCTGTTTCATGTATGCAGCAATTTATTTATTTATTTATGTACGTGTTGGTCCTGGGGCTGAACTCAGGGCCTGGGTGCTGTTCCTGAGCTTTTATGCTCTACCACTTGCACCACATCTCCACTTCTGGCTTTTTGCTGATTAATTGGCGTTTCACACACTTTTCTGTCCTGGCTGGCTTTGGCCTACAATCCTCAGATCTGAGCCTCCTGAGTAGCTAGGATTACAGATGTTAGCTACCAGCATCTGGCTAGCATTTTGTCTGTTAATAAGCAACTGAACATGGGTGTGTGAATAAGCTCATTGTGATCCTGCTTCAATTTTTTTGGGTGTGTGCGTATGTGGTACTGGGCTTTGAATGCCATATTAGCCTGGCTGGACTACTGCTCTACAATGAACCATTCCTCCAGCCCTACCTTTTGCTAGTTATCTTGGAGATGAAGTCTGTGGGTTTCTCTGCCCAGGCAGGCCTTGAGGGAGATCTTCTGGATCTCAGTCACCTGGCCCCATTCTCTTTAATATGTACCCAAAGGTGGAATTATTAGGTCATATAATTCTGTATTTCTTTAGAGCACTCCCAAAACTTTCTCATAGCAGGGGGACTTGTTTACCTTCCTACCAAATAGCTCCAGAATCTTCACGTCCTCGTCCACACTTTTTACTTTTTCACATTGGCCAAGCTTTTTGTGTTTAAACAGGACTTGTTTTCTTCCGTTGCTGTTTATTTGAGAAGGGGCTCCAGGGAGCTCTTGGCCTCTGCCTCCCCGCAGCGGACACGGCCCACGCTTTGGGACCCCTGCACGCGCCTCACGAGCCCCCCTCCGGCGCACGCTGCCTCGTTCCCCGCGGGCAGCCCCGACCCAGGCCCGGGGTGAGGCGCGCTGCGGGGAGCAGCTGGGCGACAGC